ATTTCATCAATAAATAGATCAGTATCGAAATGATCGTTCTCCATTTCAGCACATATATCTCAAAGCGCTCGGCTGACGCCCGCAAAACGCGCGATCGCATGTACGGTAACATGGCAGCACATATATCTCAAAGCGCCCGTAAAGCGCTCGCAAAACGCGCGTTTTAACAAAAATCTATAAGCGCTCGCAAAACGCGCGTTTAACGCGCGCTTGGCTTTTGAGTGTGTACGGCTACATAGAACTCTTGGTTCTTTTAAACGCGCGTTAAATGCGTTTAAAAGCGCTTTTAAACGCGCGTTTTTCGCGCGCTTTAAACATGCACTTTTAAATGCGCGTTTAAAAGCGCGCGTTGAAAAACGCCTAGTGTGTACAGGGTCTTATTGTGTGACCTTAGAAAACTCCGCCATGCCATACAAGACAAGCGACGTGGCCTAATGTCTTCTGGTGGCAGATTTCTTTGAAGTCAGAATTTTAAAAATTTTTGAGTGGTATGACAAATGTTTGAACAAAAATAGAAATTATGTAGAAAAGTAGATAAAAGTATGTAAAATATGGGCAAAAATATATTTTAATGATATTTACAGTATTTTTCTTCTTATTAAAAAACGGACCTTATTTAAAAAATAGCCCTTGTATTATTAATTATTATTAACTAATGAAAATAGTCATCTGTACATATAACTATATACTGTTTCCTTAATAAATTTCATCAATTATGTGGCATTTGCATATTGTACAGAAATATGTAAATCTTGGATAATTCAAAGTCATGATTATTTTGTCCCTTGAAATTCAAACTAATAAGGATTTCCTGTATTTGAAGTGAAAAACTATAAACATTTTCCTATATATGAAAATTTATATAATCCAGTAAGGAAAGCAAAAATTTCCTCTTTGCTTGGCACCATTGACGTCATGTTAGGTTCCAGCATCCCTAAATGGGAAAATCATAAGATATTCTGCTCTAAAATTTTTCATATTAAAAAATGATCTTATTTTCTATGAGTACATTTCAACTGTTGACTAGGAATAACCTTATAATTTACATATCATATATAAAGCAGTTTCATTTTGTTACATTGTATGCAATATCAATCCCATGCACAAAATATATGTCAACAAATAACTTCATGTTGATAATACACTTCATATAAACAGACTTTCTTGTAAAAAGTAATAATTTTAAATGCCAAGTTAGGATACTGCTCCAATATTTTTTATTTTTTCTTAATTTTTGCAAATCATTCAACACTGCAGAAAGCAAGTTTTAGAGCAAGAATCTACAAAGTGTCAGTCCTGGAACCATATTCTTTTTTTTTTTCTTTTCTTTTCTTTTCAGAGGAATGGCTACAATCCTAACAGACTGCAATAATGCTGCCAGAGAAAACTTGCCAATAACATATTAAAATCCAAAACTAAATTATTAAATAAACTATGATCATCACATTCTGATAAAATTTTGAGTATTATTAATGTAAAACTAGTATATTATACATATTATATTGATTGTACTAGTACATAAATATTTTAAATTTCGAAATTGAAAGTTAATGACAACTTTATCAAAACTTAAATGATATTTATTTTCAAGTAATTGAAAATTACGTTGTTTTTTGTAAAATTTCGTTGTTTAGCTAATTGTTTAGTCCAAATTACATAACACGTTCACATGTAAAATAATTAAAGTGATTAAATTTTCAAACAAACTGTAAACAAGTGGCTTATGCAATGTATGGAAAATATTTCATTTGCCATCAAATTGAAAGTTATGACAACTCGATCAATGTAATAATGGTATATTGTCCTATTACATTTGATTTCATGTATTAGTTGAATTTAAAACACTATATTCAGTTTCATTCTAAATTTACCTCTTTTGGTCAGCTCAAACCGCGTGTCCACACTAGTCCCGGCTTTCCTATGTTGCTTCTTTACACTTTTTGCCAAATTCCTATGCAAAAAACAAAGAAAATATCGCCAAAATATCTTAACGGAAAATATATGTTTGAATGCATATATAAGAAAATTTTTCAATTAAATTTTTAAAATAAAATTTTTATAAATTCAAATATATTCTGTTTTATATATATATATATATATTTAGTAGAACGTATGAAGTAATAGCATCGTCGGATTGAAAAGAAATTTCGGCTGGAGATATATACCATGCATAGGCCCATTTATAATACTTTATATATTATCGGCCGTACAGACGAAGAAGTTACACGTTAGCTCACCGCTTTGGAGACCCAGGTTCGAATCTGGGCAGTAGCGAGCATTAATCCAATATAGGCCATGGCGAGTCGAGTTGACATCAATTATTTTTAAATTATTGATTAATTATTTTTAAATTAGAAGTTACAAAATGCACAAAGTGGCGGGCCGAATATCAGCTTACCTGAGCCATTCGATGGCGGCACCCATCCTTTTTATTTAAAATTTTAAGTAATGAGCCAGACACAGGGCCGGATTAACCCACTTTGGGGCCCTGGACATTTTCTTCTTACGGGCTCCCCTTTCTCACACTAGAAATAGAGCACACAAAAAATATAAAACGATAAATAAAACAAAACTAAATAATGTGAAAAACTAAAACAAATCTTAAATTTTTATTAATAAAAAATATTTAATACACAACAATAAATTTTAGTTTTTCTAGAAAAGTTTGAACAGTTTGTTTATAAATTTAAAATATTGAAATTTGTTTTATTAAATGTCTAACAAAAGTTGTTGTAAAATAACAATATTACCTTAAAAAAATAATTGTCAACAAGACTATGTCTTGTTTATAAAATCGTACTGCTTGCTGTGTTACCAGCTTAGAGGTATGAAGGAGTACATGTCAGGAGTTGCAATTTGGCACAGAGTATTAAGTGCCCAAATCATGCGCGCATAAAAAAACCTGACTTGTAGGTACTCGGGACCGAGAACCGAGTGAAAGTAAAATACAAAATGGCGACTCTCTCTACAAACAGGCAAACCGAAGTCAGGTGGTGAGAGTACCACCCACAGTCGTTCAAGGAAATGGACTCTGACCCTAGGACTGAACACGTAGTATTTTCTTTCTTAAATAAAATTTGTAATCTAATTTTGTAAATTTGGGAGTGCTTCAAATATGACATTAAAACAGGGTTTTATGTCGTTACAAGTAGGTTTTTTAACATTGTCTAGTATAGTAAAATCGTGGGACCAGTAAAAATTTGACGTTATAATCAGGTTAAACTGTATATTGTTTGTGCACAAAAAAAAAAAAAAATAATTTCGGACGATACAATAGCCACGATTATTTTTTTCAAAGACGAGAAATTTTCGTTAGGCATTGACAAAAATTCAACCCGGGCCGACACGCAACGGAGAGAAATTTCGAAATTGGATAGGTTAATTTCATCGAAAATGCATGGTGGACGACCTCGTGGTCGTGGCTGGCGAAGTTTGAACGATCGCGCCCAAAAGCAGCGATACCAAAGAAGATTGGAGAATGAGAAAGAGATCCGCTTTGAGCGTCAAAGTGATTCCGCTTAGTAGTGTCTCCGAGACATAGTCGTGTCCCAAATACGGTTTAATACTAAATAATATAATATTTTACTAGTATTATAAAGTTGTCCAACAGAAGAGTAATTTATCTTATTTACAAATCTCAAAATAGACAGTTTGACCGGGCCCTTCTAAAAACCGGGCTCTAGACATTTGTCTCATTTGTCTATGCGATGATCCGGCCCTGGCCAGACATCTATTCGTATAGCGTATCACGTGGCTTACGGTCTGATTTAGAATAATAGTTTTTAAATTTAATACAATAGAGAGACAAGTGATGTTATTTGTATTTTGTTTATTGATTTATTTTTCTCGAGTGAAATATAACGTATATTAAAATAAGGAACGGTTCGCAGGAAAATTCTCGAATTTCCAATGGATCAGTTTATCACGGGATAATAGCGCCTTCAATCTTGGTTATATTGCATGAATATTGCATGCAATGTTGCCGACAATCGGATGGCCAATGCGGTTAAGAAATCGAAAACCTAAGAAATTTTTCGGAGCGGGATCTGTCCTAGACCATCCATCACAACCGGCCGCTCCCATTATGGTATGATTAAAAGCCTTCTTAATACCTATCAGGCAGAAGAGTAAAAATTTAAAAATTTACGGGTGAAAAAGGGTTAAAAGTTTATGGGATTTTCGTTAATTAACGTGTGATACGAAAAACTAATCTAAGCAATATCTAAACAGTGGCGTAGCGTGGTTGTCAGCCGCCCGGGGCGGAAGAAAATTTCGCCGCCCCCTTATTTAGGTATCTCAATTTAAAAGACTAAAATTCAGTTTCGTCACAGAATAAGTAATGAAAAATTCCGTGCTCATTTCAATCGGTCCGAATCGTAGGTGCAACAAAAATATGAAATGAAATGGTTCAAATTTTTACAAGATATTATTATTATTTAGTGTGAAATTTTGCCGCCCCCTAAAAGTGCTGCCCCTGCCGCCCCACTACGCTACGCCACTGTATCTAAATTCTTCAAATAAAGTTTATTTTGAATAATTTCCTGTCACAGTATAATTAGCATCCAACAGTTGCCGAATGGATGAAACCAATGAACGCTGGTAGTTGGTCGTGGGTTTGCACCTCACCAACGGTTTGGCCCGAAAACTTCATGTTGGTCACATGAAGTTTTCGGGTTTTCTGCATGTTGGTAACACCTAAATAGTGACTAGTTTCCCATAAAACACCTATTGCATTCCCCTCTCGGTAGATGGCCCATGTGTCGCGAATAAATCCAAACCAAACATATTATTAAATTTCACCGAGAGAAAATAATTCTGAAATAGTTATTTTTATACCTTTTCTGTCTTATGGGCACTAAGTAGATTTTTTTATGATGTCCACAATGAGATGGACGGGTTGTAAGAGACGGGGCCTGACGTATCCAGAGAAGATTGTTGACAAAAACTTCTTAAATTCTTGAACTGAATCTCCGGAGAGGTAGATTGATGTCTACTTTTTTGGCTATTCCGCTGTCTACTTCTGTTAGTTAACCTAATTACTTTTTTGTTTTCTTATTTATTTTGAATGAATAGATAATTAATTAAGTATGATACGCATTCCATAATTTTTATGTAATGGATAACTATGGCTAACTGAATTATACTAACAAGTAAGAGTACTTTAATTAAAAATCTGACATTATAATACAGTACACATCCCGGTAAAGGTTTGTTAATCTGGCATTCGATAAGCCGGAATAGCCTTTAACCCGGCATCCTATGAAAATAATCGATAATTCGGAATTTTCCGATAATAATCCAACATGCTAATATTTCGCGAAAAGGAGTTCGTTAGGACAGATGGTGCGATAAAGACCTCGGGCGTTTAGAAAATAAATAATAGTCTACACAAGTATATGTTATTAGGCATAAAGACTTAAAATGCTCATTGAGCGAAAAATTCTATCACAACTCGTTCTGACTTCTCAGATCTAGCCAAAAATATCTGAGCAAAAATAAGTAACAAATTTTTGCACAGATATTTTTAATAAATAATTTATGTATAATTTCCACGAAAGAACTAATTCTGAATAATGCTTATTATTAAAAAAAATACTTATCAGTGAAAATTTTTGTCGCAAAACGTTATCTGATTAAAAAAACCATAGTATAATAAACATAGCTCTTCATTTTCTTTTATAATTCACTCTCAAGAAGACAGTTTGCTGTCAATTGTTTTGTTTACAAATCCTTGATACCTAAGGAATGCTTTCTCCCTTAAGATGACAATCACTTTCTCTTTTTGGCCGGACCACTGTTTCCCTCTTCCTATGACCCTGAATTATTTGTATTGACTGTAGCAATCCATAACTTTTTTAATTTCATGAACGGAAAATTAATGAAATTTAATTTTACAACACATATTTATAGCAACTTTCATATTTTGAGCATCTTTAAACAAAACCAATGAAAGTAAAGCGGATGTTCTACAGCAACTCTTTTCACAGTGCATGCCCAACCGGATGTTCACCGGAAACTGCTTATCCCACATGGCTTTAGTGTTTTATAAGTTTTTTCATCTTTTTCGGCTTGTATCCTTCTTTAAATTTAATTATATTTAGCATAAATCAATCCAGTCTGTTCTAAATATTTAAATCTGTGTTATTGTGAAAGTAAAAAATTTAATGCTTAATAATATTGAAATACTTATATGTTTGATATATATTTGCAAGATTTTAACCTGTCAATAAAGATTTATGCTCATACTCCATATACATAAAATTAATTATATAGTAGAATTTTAAATTTTAATAATAATATTTTATTTTATCCAATAAATTTCATAAATGTTTTCCGGTATTTAATTGATCGGATCGACGAAAGATTTAAGGAGTGTGTTCTGCGGTTCGAGTCTAAGTCGAAACTACGAAACTATTTTGGTCTGTTTCAGAGACTTATGACCCATCTTTCACCGATTTCAATAAATTGCAGGCCTGACCAAATGCTTTTTTTAACTGCTCGGCCATCTGCCATTTAAACAATGATGGATAAAAAAATAACTTAACTTTCTATTTCAGACCAATTACAAGATCACTTTATTTCGGAATACACAGTATATTCGTAAAAAACGTACATAGTCTATTCTGACATAATGAAATTGATATACAATTTTCCATACGACACCATTGATGCATCAAAAAGAATCACAAGCACTGTATTTTCAAGTAATATTTTAAGAAACTAAGTTAATTTTCACTTTTTCAATTATAAAATTTAAAAAAGTTGAAGTAAATAAAATACAACTTTACTTTCAACATAAAAATTTAAATGAAATTTTCATTTTATATATTTAGGGAAAATTAATTTATTCAGTCGAACAGTGGCGTAGCGTGGTTGTCAGCCGCCCGGGGCGGAAGAAAATTTCTCCGCATCCTTATTTAGGTATCTCAATTTAAAAGACTAAAATTCAGTTTNTTTCATTTTATATATTTAGGGAAAATTAATTTATTCAGTCGCTGAATCTTCCGGCTTTAATGTCGAATATTTATATAAAATATTTATTTTATATAAATATATTATATATTGATATTTGACAAAGTTTGTTATCATACAATATCATCCGTGATAAATTTGAGCTTTCTCCGTTGGATCATTTTTTTTGTAAAAATATCGATTGTTTGTTTAAACAAAAATTTGAAAAATGGTGTTTGATTAAGATTTGTTGCATAGGAATTTCTTCGAAATAATATTGTTTGCCAGATATTGAATATAAAATCATAAATAGTATTCGACAGAAAATCAACTAAATAAGAATCTTTAAACTTACCATAGTTATACAAATACGAAATTTTATAACTCATAATTTAAAGCAAATTTTATTTTTGCTGTTTAGAGACGCCACTTTGAGAACGACGCAAAGTAGAGTAAGGATGTATAAGACTATTATCTTCATAAATGGA